ACCACTTCAAACCGAGCTTGAGAGGCAAAAGTCATTCAGCCAAACAGGAGATGGGACAATGCTCAGATTTTGGTTTCCTACATCATTTAGCTAAAGAAAGCTTGGGGCGGGTGGGGGGCGGGGGTGGCTGTGGCGACAGGTGAAGTCAAGAGAAGACATGTTGGCAAGAAGTCCAGCCAGTGCTGTGATATGGTGATTCTGGATGTCCAACCAGACAAGCTTTTATCGCTTGAGTTCTGACTCAGCTAACACATCTGAGCAACTGGGATTTGTACCAACAAACACCACATTTCCAGGTCACACACAGCACAGCAGCCTTCTGACAGTGTGACAAAGGCATTACTTTGCTGCTTTTGGACAAAAGAATGAGCAATTCTCTGTAGGCCAGCTCTGAATGTCTTATTTACTGGGGGTTAAGATGGTATAAACACTACTACTAGAGCATTCCAACAAAAGTCGCTATCTATTAAGTGCTGTGTGGTAGACTGTAAACTAAGGGTCTTACAAACATTATCTCCTTTAATCCCCATAAGCCTATGAAGGAGATTCTATTATTACCCTCATTTTGTAGATAACTGGGGAGCAGAGAGATAAGTAACTTGCTTCAAGTCACAAAGCCTCTAAGTGGTAAAGTGGGGCAGCTGGATTATCGGACTTCAAAAGCTGAGACCCCAACTGTTTCTGACTCCTGCCAATTTCCAAAAGTCAAAGACTTCCAAATTAGTACTAATTCCTGAAATCGCTCCCCTCCTATCCTGGCACAGCCTCAGCTGGAATGAGAGAGAGGTATTTGGGAGTGGGAAAACAGAACTCGATGCCCATAAAATCAAAAGACAATTTAACTTCAGAGACAGTATTACTTTATACCAAACTTCATCTTTAAAGTTCCTTCATGTTTCTTCAAAATAATCGAAATGTTCAGATCACGCTATGTCAAAATGTTGAAGGAATGTCTTCAAATCTGGTCTTTGTCACCTTAACATTAAGACTACAGGGTAAAATTCCTTCAAATGGGTCTGGTCAATGGAAGAACAAGAAAAAAATAATGTTTCCTGACTTTTTCTCTCCTTTTAATCATTCCCTCACAAACATTTGAGCGCTTACAGTGCTCTCCGCATGTAGGGAGAGAAAATGAGAACAGCCCTCTCCCTGGATCCCTGGATTTCAGGAGTGTTGTATCTCTTCTTTTTTAAATGCCTTTGAGGTTTATTTTTTAATTTTCTCCTACTGCTTCAGTTTCACAACTTCTCACAGAGACAAGAAACTCAGTAAAGAAGAGCATGTGTAATATTCGGTTGCAAGCATGGCATGAATGCTCAGACTTTGACCCATTTTCCCAGAAGCAGTGACTGCAGAGCAGTAGGTGGGATCCAGGAGAGAAGGGACAATTAAACTCCATGATCTTGGCTGTAGCCTCACGTCTTTTAATCCCTGACGTCTGTTGTGATTTGGCAGCACATGAACAATAGATCAACCAGAAGATGAACTTCATGAATGCTGCCATAGAATTATAGAGTACGCCCTAATGACCAGCATACAACCAGAACCTTGTCTTTAATAATCTAACACCATGTGCATTTCTACATGAGGGAAGTGGAAACAGTGCCCAAAGGTTCTCAAAGACTGTGTGTGACAGTCTCCTGACTGGGTGATGTTATTTTGTTGATTGTGGACAAAATCTTGTCTCTCCTCTTTCCAAGTCAGTAAGTCACAGGCCATAATTTTAGAAGGACTTTTGTAAGAGGGCAAAATTCTTTTCCACATGCACACACACAGGGTTTGGGACAGATTTCATATCCCTACATCCTGGTGAAAAACAGGGCCATCTAGCAAATCTGAATTTAAGAATATCTTTTTTCCTTTACTTACATTAAACCTCACATTTGTCAAAACTTAGTGAGACCAGCACATTTCTAGCAGTAATTGTGGCCAAAAATTAACCCCAAGGACAAAACTTAGCAGTTGAGAAATTTCCAGAAAATTAAAAGGTAAATTTTATAAGAAGATTAGTATTTTTTTTCTAATCCCATATCCTACAGGTATAACATCTTTTTGTTTTTTTTAAAGTCCCTCTAGGTATCACCAACCACGTACTATGATCCCACTAGGTTTGATTTATCACACGAGGCCTTCTACGTATTTGAAGAAACATCAAAAAGGTCAGTTTTGTGTACTATTTAAGCCAGTTTTTAATCAACAGATTTTTAAATACTCATCTTCAGGTGATTAGTATGAATGTATTAAAAAAAATCCACCTTCCATAAAATCTCCAAGGTAATAATGGTTTTTAGTAGTCTCATCTCAAAGGAAATGACACCACGGATTCTATCACAAGGGTGGGAGTGAAATGAGAACCATTTGTTCACAGACACATGGAGACCTTCAAGCTCGGCCATCTCATTAATGCCTAGGGTGGCAAAAAAGCTGCATGACATTTATTCTTTGCTGATAATGTTCAGATGTCAAACAAAGACATTTACTTAAGCTCCTCAAGGGATAAAATTATATGTATATACCATAGAGTTTTCTGAGGGCCAACAAATTGAAACTTGGTAACATCCATGGTCTTGGGGCCAAAGATGGCAACAACTGCTTGGCTTTTGGGGGAGGAAAAGAAAAACAAGAAACCCCATAAAACATATTCTAGAACATCAGGTTTGGTGGGTAGAGAAGCAAGGAAAAAGGAACAGAGATAGGCTATGGGCAAGAACACAGCATGGAGACTGAATCACACTCGATGATGATGATGATATTTCTTTTAAATCACTTGTTCTCAAAAGGATGGTACCTAGCCTGAGAGGCAGTTTTGGAAATGTAAGGTGCTGATGATGGGGAGGGCCACTACTGGCATTCAACAGGTGGGGCCCGGGTGTTGCACAAGACCCACTACGTCCAACTGTGCCACCAAGTATGCATGTAGATGAAAACCCAGTTCAGAATTAGCTGAGTCTATAATCCCATTTTATCTAAACACATACAGAGAATTTTTACTCCAGTTTTAAAATGTATTGGAACTTTCAGGAAATCTAATCACTCCACAAATTGAGACAAGCCTGTACAATAAAGTGATTATGAACAAGGACAGAGCTAAATTGCTTCAATTTTAATCCCAAATCTGCCATTATCAGCTGTATACCCTCAGCTCACTCTCCAATTTGCAAAATGGGAAGAACAGTGACATCTCATAAAGTCATTAGGTAAAGATTTAGAACAATGGCAGGCACCCAGTAAGCCCTGTGTGGGTATAGTTCTGGTAGACTTTTTTTTTTTTTTTTTAGTGAGTAAAGGGATAGAAATTTATTAAGAAAAGATACAGAGAAAGCTCTCAGAAGTGAGAAAGGTCCTGACAGGGTTGCCCACTCTCATAGACTTTTATCTACAGCTTTACCAACAATTGGCCACATTTTAGAAAATCGTATTACTGACATAGATCTGTTCTTGGCATTGAGTTGCCAACAGAGCACACCTGTACTCCATTTGTAGCTGACACATTCATGGTGATTTTATCTATAGGTTCAAGTATATATGTGCCTTTTTTCATTATTTCAACACCCCTTGTAATACAACCATGCTAGAACACTTACATAGGAAAATGATTATTTCACTATAAAATATTTCTACATTTGTTTATATTTCATTTAGGACATTAAATTGATGTGTGTCTATAGAGGCTGGTTACACTACCTACGAATTTCATTTTGGAATAGTAAAAGTAAATGTGGATGATGCTTTTATGTGTGAGGATGGGTTTTATCATCCATGATTTTTTATTGATAATTGTAGCTGTGTTGTAAAATATTTATTATAAAAAGGGGTGGGTGTTGAGTTGGGTCTGGTAGGGTTAAAGAAAAAAATCACTAATTTTAAAGTTTTATATGTCAAAGTGTCATTCCACACGCCCGCCATTAAATCTGGATTACTATGGAGGCAAGTCGTTTTCATTAATTGCTAAGAAATCAGTATTAAACTATTGTTTATATATCTCACAAGTAGAGATGTATGCAAACATTTTTTTTAGCAGTGATCTATTTCTCAAACACAATTCAGGAGGAAACCCCACATAAAAATACAGATAAAGCTGTGGCGTCTGACCAATGAAGGCAGAGGACCCAGAAACTTCTCTGGTCTCCTTTTAGAGCTTGAGAGAACAAGGTCACAGAAACACCTACCTGGTGCAGTCATTTAAATTGGGCACTGCCTGTAGTTAAGACTGACTCCTAAAAATGCATTTTGAGGACGGTCATCTGATCACGAGTGGTATTTTCTCCACAGAAAAGGAGCCAACCTCCAGCTAAAACCTCCAAAGCTACTTAACTCATTACTCAGCTGAACTAGATGGAGCACTAAGAATCCTCCCAAATCCAGGGAGTGAGAGGAAGCGTTGCCATCTCCTTTTCTGGGCATAAAGCCAGCTCAAGCTAACAGTAAAATGGGCCAGGGCTGGTGCCCCTCCTTTTCCATAGCTTCCATGCTAGTCTTCAGGGCCCTATCACCAGACATCCCCACCCCATGCTCTGCCCTTACATTGTGGTTAAAGCACTCATGAATCACACATCCCCAGTCTCTTCTACCCTTCAGCTGTAGCTCCCTCAGAGGCTGACAGGAAGAGCCTGACTGACTTCATCCCCTTGGTCTCACCAGAGGTACTTAAAAAGGAAGATGTTTACTAACTCCTCTGGGGAAGCTCCAATTCATTGAATTTCAGGCACTTGAACAAAGTAAACAATTCCAGGGGGGGTGGGGGGCATGTTTTTGAGCAGGGGGTATCAGTTCTGTCTAGGAAGATGCCTCAGATGTAATGTTACCTTGCCGCGCTTCCTCAACATCCCCATTTCTGATCCCTAAAATCCCAAAATGAGTGGGAGGGTTTATTTTGTTTTTTAACAATAGCGCCCACCATGGCAACTGCCAGTGGTGGTCACTTGTCAATCAGAATACACCCTGAACCCTCGCCTTCATTCGCTTCACATCTGACGCAAAACAAATATTTCAATTACGTGTGACTAAGAAAAATATACAACTATATTTAAAACACTTAAATTAACAAGATAGTACTTTTCTGTTCTAACAAAATATCATACATTCAGTTTAAACAAGAGTTAATATCCAGACACACTTTTTCCAAAATACCTGATGCTAGTTGAAAATTAGTGACCATGAGACTTTCCAAGAGATTTCTATTTAGCAAAATATGTACAATTTTGAAGAACTGCCTGGTTTTTTTTCTTCTGGAAGACAGATGTTACACAGTCAGAATGCAAACTGATGTATCTCTCATAAACCTAAATATTGTTGTTTCATCTTTCTGAATGATACTTTGGCTGTCAGCAAATCTTATAGCTTCTTTTCCCTTAAAGACAATAATATATAATAACAATGCGACACCCCTCACAAATAACCATAAACTTCTTTGTGTGTAATAAGCCCTATCTAAATATGTTCATGTGTTTCTCTATTAACTGACCTACATACCGAGGTTGTTAGGAAAAGGGAATAACGAAGTGTAACAGGCCTACACTTACTTCAACCACTTCTTTGAAACAGCATGAAATGCATGCCACATGTTATTTCAAAGTCAAAGCTGCTACACTTACAAATACGGGATGTAGCTTGAAAAATCAAAACAAAAATGTTTTCTCCACTGGCTCTTTCAGGTGAAGAGGCTGGACCACAAACCAACGCATCTGTGACAATGGCCACCAGTTTCAGCCCCGCTCCCAAAACGAACAATGGCCCAGTTCCTTGTAATGACCACCACGTTCCTGGCCAAGGCCCCAGTTCACAGAGTGTGTCTCCGTCATCCAACCCTAAGAAAGCAAGAAAAGCAGACTCTATTCACTTCTCTCCTCCTGCCAACACGTGAGATCCTCTGGTTTTGTTCTCATCCAATTCAAAATTGCAAGAAGGGTGTATACAACTTCCAAAGGAAAACACACAATGACATCGCATAAGGTCACAACATAACACTGTGGATGAAGACCAGAACAGGTTGTCAACTGAGGAGACAAGGCACTTGGGAGCGGGAGACAGGGAAGAGTCTGGGCAGGGCGGGGCTCAGTGAGTCAACAGTTTGAGGCGAGTCAACCAGCTGACCAGCAGGGATGGTTCTGTAGAGGACTTGGCCGCTGAGGAGGAGGCCGGCTTCTTTCTGGTCCCCTCCTCCTGGAACGGGATGGTGGCGCTGCTGTGGAGATCCGAACTGATGTAGCACCTGCTGCCCCGGACAAAGTCTGCGCCCCGGACCAGCTGCCTCTCCGCTGGCGGCCTTGAGAACCGGTATGGGGCTGAGGAGCTTTCTTCGATGATGGGGGGGATCCGCTCATTACTGAAATACCGGCAGAGGGCGTCCTCACCTGTTTGCAGACAAAGCCCACGAGAGGCATTAAAATAACCATCCACGGTGCAGCCCTGTTCAGCTGGGCCGGCAGCCTGTGGACACCTCTGATGCCCTCAACGTGGGCATCACACCCTGCCCTCCTCCCGGTGATGGGCTGCAAAGGCCCACAGGCAGCCAGGCCCACCCCACTGGATGTTTAGAAAGTAGAAAGCAGACAGAATCCATGACAGGCTGCTTTTACACCTGAGAGGCAACAAAAGGGCAGAGCAAAATCAGAGAGCCTGCACTTTTTTTTACCAGTGCAAGATATTTTCATAATTTCACTTGAAATTTTAAAAAATTTCCCCATCTGTCCGTGTTCAGTGCCTGCAGCATGTAGCACGTGCTTCTAGGCCAGTGATTCTTATCCTGAAGCATCCCCTAAAGAGCATTTAGAAAGCTTGGGTTGCCTTGGGTGGTCATTCTCAATGGAGGGCAGGCACTATTCACCTTTAACGGACAGGGTTCAAAGATTTTAATGCTCTGCAATGCTTGAGACATTGCTGAACAAGGAAGAATGGTCCCAGGCTAAATGTCAGTAGACAGTTTCTGGGATGGGGACAAGGAGGGGAGTAGTTAAGAAACTGAATAGAAACCAAAAATGCAGGGCACTTTGGCAACGTGTAGGATTCTTCTGACCCAGAAATTCCACTCCTAAAAATGTACGAAGATGTATGTTCAAGATGCTGAGTGCAGCATTACTTACGATTGGGGTGGTGGACAAAGTAACCTAAATGTCCAACAACAGCAGATGGAATGAATACGTGCTGTTGCCAGAAGATGGACTGCCAAATGCAGTTATTATAGAAAACATGATGCTTTAAGTAATAGTCATCTTTCATGGTATTGTCAAACATCTATTTCTTCCATTTTGCACATTTTTTTTTCATAAGTGGATAATATTAGAAAATGCTCCGAGTGATTATTTCTAGGTCGGGGAAGCAGATTACCGCCCTGAGTTTTATTTTCTCGCATCTTCTAGATGTTTTTCAATGTACTTGTTTTGCTTTTGTAATCAAAGGGGTAGTTACTTTTAAGAAGTACCCATTGTCAAAGAACCACATATTGTAGGAGTCTATTTAAATGAAACGTTGAGAGTACAAAAGTCCAGAGACAAAGCAGATTAGTGGTTGCCAGGAGCTGAATGGGGAGGAACAAGGAATCATTGCAGGGGTTTCTTTTGGGAGTGATAGAATATTCTGGATTTAGTCAGTGCTGGTGGACACACAACTCTATGACTGTATTAAGACCTCTCTGAATTGTACACTTTAACAAGGTAAGCAGATCGATGGCACATGAGTTCTGTCTCAATAAAGCTGCTTTTTTTTTAAAGTGCCCACTGTGTAGACAGACACCTTTTCATTCTAAAATGATCATATGACAGAAATATGGAAGGTGAGAGAGGAGGTCAAGTATGACTCCACTTTCAGACTTAACGCCCCCCAATCTCCCACCCCCAATTCTCATACTAAAAGGAAATAAAAGGCTAAGCTGGAAATTAAAAACCTAAGAGAATAGCAATGAAGACGTTGACATTTGTAAATCTAAACAAAGGACAGCCCTGCCACCTGCTGACTGCTCCACAGATTTTCACATGCCAATTAAAGGTATCCTGGACCTTACACAGACATCAGCTCCCTTTTCCACTTTATTATAATCCAGGTGATTTAGGTGCCTAAGTGAGGAACTTTATCAGGTCCCAGGGAGACGTGAGGGGTTGATCATTTTGGAAGCTGAGGCTCCAGAACTTTTTTCTTCTTCCTTTTATGACCTAAAGTCTACTGTACTTTAACTTTTCACCTGCTCTGTGTTTCAGCACTGCACAAACAGTGGTAGAATGTCTTGCCAGTGCTGATGACCAAATCATCTGGCAAAAAATAAGGATTTATTTAAAACATTTCCGTTGACACTAGTGTAATAACCAGTCACTTTGATCATGGGATGAATTAACACAATTTCTTTTTCAATGGTAATCACTCTCTCACACAAGATTTACAGAGGAGAAAAAAAATCCATGCCTATTCATCAAAAATCAGACTCCAGTAATAATAAGTCATAAAATTCAGGGTGTGATTGCCTAATGAATGTTTCTACTTATCTAGAAGCTTATAGGCCATCGATGGCACAAACTTTTAATTAATTAGCTAATTAATTATTTTTAAAGATTTTATTTATTTGAGAGAGAGGGAGAGAGAGCACAAGCAGGGAGAGCAGCAGGCAGAGGGAGAGGGAGAAACAGACTCCCGGCTGAGCAGAGAGCCTAACGCAGGGCTGGATACCAGGACCCTGAGATCATGGCAGGGGCTGAAATCAAGAGTTGGAGGCTTAACCAGCTGAGTCACCCAGGCGCCCCCACAACCTTTGTAGAGCACACAATGCTACTCAGGAGATTCACAGTCACTAACTAGGATAATAAAATTCTGTCATTCCAGAAACAGGTAGAGCCTTAGACATTCAGCAACCCCGACCCTACAGAGGAGAAGACAGGACTAGGGCTGGGTCCTCTATCTGCTTATGGCAGCACAATTAGGAATAGGGCTGAAATGAGGGCCTGGGTTCTTCTGAGTCCAGTTCAGTGTATTTTTGGCCTGCTGAAACTTACCCTTCCTCCCATGACCTCGCGGTCTGGCGAAAGGGTCGACGATCCCCATCCAGCTCCCATCCGCGGGCATGGACAAAGGCCGGGGCTTGCCTTCAAAGGGAGGGAAAGGAACATGACAGGTTGACAAGAGTCTGTGACTATTAGAGGATCTTTCCTTTTATTTATAACTGAAGACTCCCCCATATCACACTCAACCGTAAGTAATAACGTTATTTTGAAATAAGAAAAGTATTTTAAAGCATCGGATTTCCGTGGCGAGCAATTAGGAGAGGGCGGCTGAACTTCAGTCTGTGTGTCTACAGAGCAAAGCAGCTCCGAGCTAAAACCAGGCGCTGAAAGTTAAAACTGTAACATGATCTCACTCCACTGGGCTTTGATGCCAGGCAGAGAGTAATGATTCAACAAGACTTTGCTTTAGAGAGATGAATAAAGGTCTCATACTTAGAATTTCATTGAGGTTTATGTTTTCCTCAGATTACCCTTAAAGTCTGCCAAATTCATCCAACAGTTCCAAATAAGGAAGGGGGTGGGGGAGGGAAGAAAAAACAAATAGCAGAACAAAACAAACACTCAGAAATGTACCATAAGATGGTGTTTTCTCTCTCATTTTTGTGGGCAGAATATTGGTCTCCACCGAATACCCAGGCAACTGATCAGAATCAGCAATGGTGAATCTCCGTCTTCGGCTTTCCTGGTCCAAGAAGGAATTTGGGGACTCGGAGCCCTTAGGACCAGGCACGGGTTGTTTACACTTACTGAATCCTCCATAAAGAAAACTCTCATTCTCATCCCTGGAAGACAGTGGGCAATAATTAAGTTGCTTACGAAGATCCTCTCATACAGAAGAATTATAGGACATACTTCCTTGAGCACACAAAACATAAGAAAACTTTAATCCTCCTTTCCACTGGAGGAAAAAGCATTCCTTTTTCAATCTCTGCTACCCCTCAAATACACAGAAATCTTATTAATAAATAAGAGAAAATAGCAAGATCCTACTAAATAAATGAAAATGATAGTTTTTTTCATATATGTTTAAATAGTATAAATATACCTTTGAAAAGACAGCTCTGCTTTCCTTCCACTTCTATCCTATACCTGAATCTATTTCTTATGGAAATCACAAGGTAAGGTACGATTGGAGCCGTTTTTCTGATGCCCAAAGTAGTATCTTTGCCAAGATCCAGCAAAGACGACACCTGACATATAATGGAGTTGTTAGATTTGAAAATTATGTCAAAAAATACAAAGGTGCCTTTATAATACCCAGTGGAGAGCATCTATTCTCTGAATTCCGTACAGAAAATGGCAAGTGTTGGATAAATGACTCCAACTTAATTCTTTCTAAATGTCAGCTTTTATAAAACTTGAAATTAATTTTAGTTGAGGCCAAGTTACCAGCTAGTTAAATTTCTCACACTTAGAAAATTCTATTAGGTGATCGTTGCAAAAACTACTTGACAAAATACAACATCCACCGAGTCCAAAAATAATCTAAAGATCAGCTTTGCCTGCTTGAATTCCCAGTGAACCCCCTGCTTGCGTAGCCCCTCCTCCCTTTATGAATCCATCTCCTTCTATACTTTTAAACCTGGCATATATCCCCATCCACAAAGCTTTCAAGACTCACCACTCATTCTCCATAACCATTTGCCTGTTTCATTCCTCAGAAAATATCCTTCATTAATGGTTTGTATGCACGTGTGCACATGTATATGTGTGCATGTGTGTCTCCCCCGAGCAGATGAAAAGCTCCAGCTCTTTTTCCCCTTTACTATACTCCTTATCCTGCCACTGCTTCTGTGACCCTCACTGAGACCCAGACAAGGACTTTCGGAGTTGGGAGTTTGGGAGTGGCCTCCTAGTTTCTGATAGAACCACCTACACACTGGTCATCATGAAACTGTGTTCTCCATGTGCAAAGGCAACTACTTGTCACTTTAAACACCCTTACGATCCCATGACCGCATGACTCTGGTCTGTGAAGATAGGGAAGAGTCCCATCTACCAACTCCAATGCCTCTGATCAGCTAAGGTAAATTCTCTATATGCTGTACTAAGTTCTGGGCAACCCAAAACCAGGGAGAAGAAAATGATATTAATTCTTCCTTATGCCAGGGAAGAAACATGATAGAATCAAATACTCAGCTTAAAACAAAAACAAACCAATAAAAAAAACTCCAACATGAAGTAAAATATCACTGTTAAGTTCAGCCCGAACTTTGTCTTATGAAATATTATAGCATAATTATGTTTTTCTCAGTTTATTCTTGAACAGTTGACTAAGACATTGGCAGTTCTCTGGGGGCAAGAGAACTGCATCTGTTTTGGGTAAGACGGTGATTCAGGCATTACACTCACTAAAGGTATGTTGAATAAATGAGCTAAATTCTCTGTTAATAGGTAAATTGGTATAAACCTGTATTTCATACCTAAATAATTCCCTATGTAACAGCTAATATGACTCTTCTTGTTATACCATTTATCAATTAAGAGAGGAACAACCTTTAGAATTTATAATAGGCACACACACACACACACACACACACACACACACACGCAGGCATAGACACAGAGGATCACACCTATATTCATATTTTTTATGTCCTATGAAGAACACAACACTGCAAAATTTGCTGCACACAAAAAAATTACTATCTTTTTAGTAGGAGCCAAAATAAGGCATTCCAAGAGCTCATGCTTTCTTTACATAAAGAGCCCCTACCCCACCAAACTACGTAGTTTCAAGCCCGATGAAACCTGGATCCATTCCTACACTTCCCCCTAAAGGACCACACATTTCCCTCCCTGGTTTTATTGAGATATAATTGGCATGTAACATTGTATTAGTTTTAAGTGTACAACATATGACTTGATATGTGTATATACTTGCAGAATGATCACCGCAAAAAGTTCAGTTAACGCCCATCACCTCACATAGTTACAAAATTCTTTCATTCTTGTGGTGAGAACTTTTAATATCTCCTCTCCCAGCAACTTGCAAATATAAAATATAATATTGTTTAACTATAATCACCATGCTGTCCAGTACATCCCATAACTTATTTATCTCATAACTCAAGTTTGGACCTTTTGATCCCCTTCACCCATTCCTCCCACCCCTATTCCCAGGATCCCACTTTCTAACACAACTGCAACTTCAAGACTCAGCCCTGGCACCCTGGGGTTAATCAACTTCTGCCCTCAAAGTCCCCATGGCCTTCAGAGTGCCACTTAGAAGCTCCACGCACAGGAGATGTGCACACCGCCAACAGGGACAATGACGTACCGGGGAGAGTAGGGAACAGCTGGTGGAGGAGGGATATAAAGATGCAGGATAGCTGGCTTCTCCTTCTTCAGCGAGGTATCCATAGTGCTTTCAGGGGACTGGGTTGTCGTGGGCGGAGGTGAGGTCTGAAATGGAAGCCAGTGCAAAGGGTGGAAGGGAACTTAGAGACTATTTTTGGGTAACTCTTCTTCCCCAAAACCAACATGGAGGGGTGAGGTCATTCGTGTGTTGACTACTATTAGCAACACTCAATTTGTACTCTTTCAGACACTCAGAATTAACTGGGAATTTTGAAAGATTAGATGCATAGTGAGAAGTAGAGGCTCAGGGTGGGGGGCACCTGGATGGCTCAGTCAGACTCTTGGTGTCAGTGTAGATCATGATTTCATGGGTCATGGGATAGAGTCCAGCATCCGTGCTCAGCAGGGAATCTGCTTGAAAGATTCTCTCTTTGCCCTCCCCAGACCCCCACTCATACATTCTCTAAAATAAATCAATCTTTAAAAAAGAAAAGAAGGAAGAAAAGAAAGAAGGAAGAAGGAAGAAGGAAGGAGGAGGAAGGAGGAAGGAGGAGGAAGGAGGAAGGAGGAAGAAGAGGAAGAGGAAGAGGAAGAGGAAGAGGAAGAGAAGAAGAAGAAGAAGAAGAAGAAGAAGAAGAAGAAGAAAAGTAGTAGTAGTAGTAGTAGTAGTAGTAGTAGTAGTAGTAGTAGTAGAGGCTTCGGAGTTCCAGAGTCAAGTTAGAATTCTAGCTCTGGGCAAATCACTTAAATACCCATGCCTCAGTTTCTTCCTCAAAAAACAGTTATACTGACAGTACCTCTTGCGTAGGGCTGCAGTGCAGATTGAATGAGCTAGTTTATACAAATCAGTACCAAGGCCATAACGGACTAGAGCATGGGCTTGGGACTCCATCCAGGTGCTATCCTGGCTATAGTTCTCATTAGCTGTGTATCTTTGGGCAAACCACCCAACTTCTCTGTGTCTCATCTATAGGATGGGAATAAATGAGGACAAGAACAGTACCAACACAGGGCGAATTAAGTGATATGGTACATGTAACAGGCTTAGTACACTGCTTGTCACATAGTAAGTGTACAACCTTATGCTGTTTAATTCAGTATCGTAGAGACACATCCACACAAGTTAATTTTAAAAATATAAGACCCACACAGCTTAATTTTAATTATGTTATTGGTCTCAAAGAACCTATTTTTAAATATCTCATGTGATACCTTCAATCTTATCTGTTCTATAGACTTACAATGACACACATCTTTTGGCTGGTAAAGGAACTGGGAGGAAATACCAGAGTCAAGGCACGAAGATGACTGGTGAAAGCCAGTGTGTGTGTGGGGGGGTACCCTATGAGAACTGTGCCTGGCCCCTGGTACCTCAGATCCTATCTAGCCCGGATGGGGATGGAAGACCTAAAGTCCCCCCCAAAGTGAGGCCAGGAGCTCCATTTTAAGGACTGGAAGGACTGGGATAGCCAGTGCTCACACTGACAGCTCTGTTTTAGGGGGAGACACCCAGGCTCAAGAGAAGTGGGGGCTTAGTCTTTAGTCTCCCCCGTGATATAATCCCTACAACCCAGATGTTGGCCATTGACACAGTCAACATTACTCAATATGCAATTGATGACCACCTCAGTCCATCAATCTTGAGCAATGTCTCAAATACACAGGGACAGGATGCAGACCCTCAACAATGGAAGCAGAGCTAAACTATGGCATTGGCACAGAATAGACACTCTCCTAACACTCTAACATTGATGATGATGTCTGTAAAATAACTCTCATTTACCAGGACTGTGGCCTAAAAACAGAATGATGACATCTCTCCAGGGACAGGCTGCATTAATGATGTTAACAAGAAGGAAAGAAGCTCCCTCCCCCACAAGAGGTGGGTGCCCAGGCATGAAGAAGCCTGTATAATGACACACACTTAGCAATGCCCAGGGAGTGTTGGTCTTTCAGGGTTTATATTCTGAAAATATCCTGGATGCATCGTGAGAACACTGAGTAGCTAAGCTATCAAATGGCCTCTGAACTGTGATGGTGGCTCTCTCCTTGGGTCAGAAGCAAAACAAGGTGTCTCCTCCCTCACCATCATCTCCTCCCCAAAACTGCACAGTTGGTGGGTCTTAGTAGGGTGGGCAAATCCAGAGAGGAGGGAAGCATGCCCTTCCTAAGTGAATTTCCAGAAGTGAAGGGACTACCTCTAGCCTCCTTAAAAATAATTTTCACTTACCACCTGAACACAGCCACTTGAATCTTCCTCTATCACTTCACACTCAGTGATGCTCAAAAGACCCACCATCTCTGCTTTCCCTGAGTTTCTAATTTCTGTCCCTGTGTCACCAGCTAGGTTCACTGTCAGATTTCACACCTGCCTTCCTTGCCATCCTCACCCCTTAGCCCAAAGACTCCTTTTCTTCTTCTTTTCTTTTCTTTTCTTTTCTTTTCGTATTTTACTTATTTGAAAGAGAGAGCATGTGTGGGAGAGAGCACAAGCAAAGGGAGCAGGAGAGGGAGAGGGAGAAGCAGACTCCCCACTGAGCAGGGAGCCTGATGCAGGGCTTGATCCCCTGGGATCATGACCTGAGCCAAAGGCAGATGCTTAACAGACTGACCCACAAAGGTGCCCCAGCCTTCTCTAACAGTAAATACTAATAATTAGGATTGAGGTTTAGAAAGATTAAATATCTTCTCAGAGGTCCCACAGCTAACAAGTGACAGAACTGGGATCTGAATTTGAGAAGTGTGGCTCCAAGCCCCCCTACCTAACCACTACACTGTGCTGCTCTGTGAATCTTTTTCATGCTTCTTCCCAATGACCTCTTAGCATGAGTCTTTCACTGGAATTGCCCTGTCACAGCTGGGGTGTGATTAATATGGTTATTAAAGACATAACTATTTATAAGAATTGACTTATAAATCATTTATTAATCAGTTATTATTTAAGAAGTGATTATAATTACATGCCCCTCCTTGCTCCATATCTTGTTATTTATTTCAACCCCCCTTCCCTCTTAAGGTTCACATGTAGGTGTGTCCATATCAAAGGCCTGAGATGACTACCATTCCTTCCATTTGAAGAGGTACAGTAAGATTGCAGACAGTTATATATACATAAATTGCGATCTCAATCTTATAAAAAGACATTAAGATGTCATTGCTTGGGGCACCTGGGTGGCTCAATGGTTGAGCATCTGCCTTCTGCTCAGGGTGTGATCCTGGGGTCCTGGGATTGAGTCCCACATCAGGCTCCCTATAGGGAGCCTGCTTCTCCCTCTGCCTGTGTCTCTACCTCTTTCTCTGTGTCTCTCATGAATAAATAAATAAAATCTTAAAAAAAAAAAGATGTCATTGCTTTTATTCCTAATTTAAAAAATAAACACTAAGGACTAATGGTATCAAGAGGGGGTTTTAGTCATGGAGCACAGTTCACCCAGGTGCAGGCAATAAAGGAGTGTACTGCTCATCTAGAATTATATGGTACTATACAGTACTCTAAGTTGGTCTGTTTTTGATTATCACCCAAGGTTGCCGATTCTGAACTAAACAATGGAGTGATACCGCTTCCCACTGAGTGGATTATCCCCACAGTCCCTACGGCTGCCCTGGGAGACTGCTGCTAAGGACACAACCCCATGTGGTCTCTCCGGGGTTAGTGCTCACACTGTATATCTTCAGATGTGTTTGAAATGAGAGGAGAAAAGGACCAGCATGAACTTTCTGCAGTGATGATGACAGCCACTAGCCACACAAGGCCACCCAGCCCCTGAAACGTGGCTAATGAGGTCCAGGAACTGGTCTTTTTATTTTATTTAAGTAGTCACATGTGGCTAGTGGCTGCCACGCTGTTTGGTACAAGATCTAGAATGCATATTTTCATTGAAGTAAGACTAGAGAATAATTCTACATACATAAATTCCTGAAACGATTCACCTTCAAATTGTAATTTTTAAGAGTATTTATTTATTTATTTATTTATTTGAGAGAGAGAATAAGTGAGAGACAGAGAGCACGAATGGGGTGAAGGGCAGAGGGAGAATCAGACTTCCTACTCAGCAGGAATCCCATTGTGGGGTTCAATCCTAGGACTCCAGGATCATGACCTGAGCCAAAGGCACTTAATGGACTGAGCCACCCAGGCACCCCTGTAATTTTTCTTTCTAGAGACAAATCTGATTGATACTCAACACTGTTCATGTGCTAATAGCAGATAAAGGTTTACAACCATAACAGATACCTGTACCAGGGGTGGTCTCCACCGTAGATTTTTCAGGGGAGCAGGAGTAAAGTTGAAAGAACCCGTGGGGCGCTTCTTAAGCAGCAATACGACTCCTGTGGGGTTCTCTCTCAATTTTCTCACCAGATTTTTTAGCTGCCATCCCACCTTCAAAGAAAGAAAATGAGGAGAAGGGACTCACTCATTAATTATGAAAAATCAAATCTATGAACTTATTTCAAGGAAATCAGTTGTGAGCAAATAAGCAGACACCAATATATTCATCCAGTACTACTTAAATTATGAAAAATTGGACAGAAATTGAAAAATTTTAAAAATTCAAGCAAATGGCTTTGGATTTAGTTAAAAGTCCTAGAAGAGAATACTAAAAGTATTAAGTCTCAATGAATAAACTCACCACAGTCTGCTGATTAACCTGAATGACTTCATCACCAGCATGAATCTTCTGAGATCTGTCTGCAGGAGACTATTAGGAACAAACACAGAGACTTATTATTTTTTAAATCTTCTATTTTGTTCTGCTTTTATTTCTTCTTCCTTCTTTCTTCTGCAGACGAGCAATGGAAATATAATTTTCTCAAGAACTATTACACAGCGCACTTAAGAGATGATCCCAAGATTACATGGTCTGTAGAACCTGGTATACGGGTGGGCACTCATGTTCCCAACTAGATAAGTGGTCGGCTGGTCCAGACCACCTGTCAGTTATAACAGCCAGGTTCCTCTACCCCATCAGGAAGAGTGCGACACACAGTCGACCCTTTGGTTCCTCTAAAAAGTACCTTACACAGATCCGTATCAAAATATATCTTGTAAAAGCTGACAAAGTGCTGAAAATGTAAAGATCATCACTGTAACCCTGTCATCCCATCTCCTTTTAAGCAATTATTAAAACTAAACCTTGTTTACTCAACCTTGCTTTACTCATTATCACAATGCTATTCACATAGAAAAATGGTGACAATAGAAAATGGACTTCTTTAGAGAAAACAAATTTAAATTTTCATCATTTTCAGGTTGAATTTAAAATGAATGTTTTCAGTATCAAAAGTCCAGATTTTGATTCCCCCAAATAATACCTTGCTACAAATTTACAAATATATGTACATGCATATATAGCTCTCTCTCTGCACATATTTGTGCATATAAATACCTAGATATAATCTATTCATTAGCTATTTTGCCCATAATATTCTGTTCAATGAATGAAACTAGCACTCTACGTTTAAGGTATCTCCTATGAGCAAAAGCAAAGAAAAGGATAAATTGATTTCAAATTACCATCAAATGTTATCTAGGCCAGAGTATTTTACTTGGTAACTTACGTAACTGACTGAATCTTCAGACATATTTACAATTATCTTTTTAAAAATAGCACCTCTGAACATGGTCAGGAGGGCAGCAACCAAACTCAAGACATTCTCACTAAATCTTCTTGCTCAACTGCTGGGATAGGCTCAGCAGGAAACGAGCAAGCAACATTCAACTGTAGAAACATTCCCTTCGATTCATCTAGATCCAATGCAAGGCACAGGTAACTATGACAGTTGTGTTTCAAAACATTTCACCTGCCACCATAAAAATGAGCAGGGCCTTGCCTGAGAGAACCACACCATGGGCACCTCAGGAAGATGGCCTACCTCAAATCTCTTTCTCTTTTGAGGCACTAAAAGAAAACAGCAAAGGCACCTAGGCTCCTTTTTGCCCATGTGTCAGATGCTTAATCCATAGTTATAGACCAATTTTGCTAAGTCTGATCAGAATCACTCCAGCCCAGATAATCTTCCTGGCTCAGGATTAATTTAAGGTAAGGTTCACTTTATAAAAGATGACCCTGAAGCCAGGAAGTTCTTGGTTGAAGATGTGCAATCTTCAAAACCAAGCCTAAATGTCCTGAATTGACTTTCCTTCCTAGGGATCCTCAGGCATTCATTTCTCAAATGTCCTACCAGGTGATTAAGCGATTTATTTGGCAGAACACTGGTAAAGAGAGAACTTAATACCAAAATTCTCCCTGGGGCAATGGCTCTTGCCTATCTTCACCATGAGCCAGACTACTGAAAAATGATGCTTGTTCTGGTTTTCTGCAGAAGGGTGATGACCTGGAGAATAATGCATCCATTCTTCAGAGGCTAATCTAATTCTCACATCATCTCAGAGGTAGGGAATAGAAGTATGGATGGGATCCTGTCAAGGTGTTAAACAACATCAAAAAAAGAAGTCATAGGGAATCACTGGATTCAGCTGACCTCGGAATGATCCTGACCTCTCAGGTAACCTCCCCACAAAATGGACTGGAGGCCTAAGATGGCCTGCTATCATTGTTTCAGCCTGGAGTCCAAGATAAAGAAATATAGGGAATGAATGCAGTGGGTGATTTCCATCCACTACCACCCACCACACTACGCTTCCATTAAAACATTCTGATTTTGGGAGCACCTGGGTGGCTCAGCTGGTGGAGCATCAGACTCTTGATTTTGGCTCAAGTCATGATCTCCACCCTGCATCAGCTTCCATGATCAGTGAAGAGTCAGCTTGAGATTCTCTCTCTCCCTCTGCCCCTGTCCCTGCATGCACTCTCTTATTCATTCATTCATACATAACTAACTAACTAACATACTGATTCTAAAGTCCCAACAACTTTACCTGCTAGCTGGAAAGCTGTTCCAGAGCTGGAAACTGGCAATTTCTACTGCCATTTAAGTGTAATATACCCAGCATTTAGGGTAAAATACCCAGATTAAGCCCTTGAGAAGTAGGCTCTTATCTACCCTTTCACCCACATCTGTGAGATTTAGCAAGTGTTCAGCACATTCCAGGTACTCAGTGAACACAAGCTCAATGACTGAAAAGAATGAGTGATATTTTCAAATGGATTGCCAGCTGGAATAAGACAAGTTTTCCCTTTTTTTGATCTTTAACAAGATGGAAACCACCTGTCTCTAGGTGGCTTCTGTACAGTCCTGTATGAGATCAACTACATCCAGGTAAATCTTAAATCTCTCACCCAGTCTTACTGAGTCTGGTTGGAATTCTAGGAAATGTATCCTTACATTAGACATTTCACTTCATTCAAAAGCAGCCTGTTTAGTCTCTGTTTCACCTCTCATGCTTAAAACCAAAGGACAGGAGGCAGGGGGGTGGTTTGAAGAGGAAATATCTGTGTGCCTTCTGGTAGTAATATGACAGTGAGCTACACATTTATCCAAGATGAAAACTGCTTTAGGAAGACCAGTGAGAGTCTGCAGCCACACAGATCTGGCTGTTAAACAATGCAATCAGTAGACAGTTAGTTTAGTTTTATATCTAAAACTTCAACTCTTTAAAAACTGAAATGACCTTCACCATCCCTCTGAATCCATCCAACCCCAAAACAATGCATTGAATGGTACACAAGTATGTTCTCCTTATGGTTCAGCTGATATATGCTAAGTCTCGACAAGAATGTGGGATGAACTGTGTAATGAGTTATGCATTTTTCTCTTCTGCACCATCCCTGACCTAAAAGCATAACTTCCCATGCTGTTATTGCTTATCATGTATGTGATATAAAAATTTCTATTGCTTCTCAGTGATTTTCACTGTAGCTCGACAAAGAATGCTTAAAGATACCACCATCTTCTACTCATTTGTCTGCCAGAATCACAAAACTTACTTAAAATTCACTGCCTTGAGCAATGTCATTTCTTTCTTGCTACAAAAATCAAGTTTGTGTCACAAACCCTCATCAAAGATTATGCCATTTTATTTTATCAAAAGACCTAGCAGCTTAAGTTCAAAATTCAACATGTATTTCCACCAGATTAGAAGAGGAGTTACCAAATTTCTTCTATTTTTAGGAATTATTTCCTCTTGTTTTAGTTGATTAAATAGCAGATTAGTTCCACAAACACGTGCTTCTTTCATACAGATCCAAGAAGCTATTTCAAACATTTTTAGCTTCCTATCAATGTCATCAAAAACTAGACATAGTGTAGATTGCAAAAATAAAGCATTCAATTGGCTCTACTCTTTACAAATTCAAAATGTTTTGAGGGGCTCAGGAAAAACCCTTCATGGAGCAGCCTTTCCAAAAGGAAGCTAACAGTATACAAAGACTCTCCCAGTAGAAGCAGCCCTGCTTTTTCTATTCAAAAGATCAGGGGGAAAGAAAAAACCCGAAATTTCAGTATCATGCCAAACATTACAAAACACAACTCTATAAAAAGAATCTACGTTGTGTAAAAATCCCAAAATAGCCGCTTTGGTGATACATATAAATTCCATTACACAACAACAACAAAAAACTGTATTTTACACATATGGCTACCAATCCCAGTTCTTGTCAGAATGGTTTTCAACAACAGGAGATCACTGTTTTTATACTTACGGGTTAACACTTCCAAGGAGCAAAGGGAATAATTAATGGGGGGGGGATAAAAACTGGGCAAGGTATGTGAATGACAGCAATAAAAGGCAATTTAAATAATAAGTTCATGACAGCTGGTGATAAGCAGCGTCCTAGCAACAGAAATGAACAAAACGGCCCCCACAGTGACTACAGATAATAAAATAGGATGCACACGCTGCAGCACCAAGTAGAGGGATTCTGTGTCACGTGTACTTAAACACATAATGGCTTTTACATTCAACGGATACGTCCGCTTACGTTTTCCGTGGTTCCAGTAATCACGTGCAATCCATCATAGGTTGATTTGATGTACATGCCCTAGAGGGAGTCACAAATACATTAACTCATTACTCCAAAGTTTAGAAAACACAGCCGCCGGGGAGACTTCATCTTATAAAACATTAAAGGCAATCCCTTCAGAACAACACTCATTTTTTTTAGGCCTCCTGAAACACTGGGAAACAAGAGCGAACGAGAGCAAACAAAGGGAACCGCTCATGAAAGAAATCAGGGGCCGATCTCTCTGGTATTGTAACTTGTGTTCTGGGCACAGAGAATTTTGTTATAAAACTCTGGGGACTCAGAAGGCACCTTCTCAGACCTGCAGGATGAATGAGGCATTTCAAACAAGGACCGTTCTCTCCTGACCATCTCTTTGTCCGGTGACACACTATATTCAGATAAACGTGGGAGCAGCAGTCATCATGGAGGTGACTTGTTTAAGCCACTGAAGACCAGGATATATGCGCAAAGATTATTAAAGCAACACAACATAGGGAGTCTATTAGGAAAGGCACTCTTCCATTTTAAGGGAAGCATAAAGACAAAGACACTCCCCTGACAGGCCTGGTTAGCCAACTCAGAGGCGAATACCATACCAGAGAGGAAACACTGCCACCGTCTACTGTATCACATATAAAAAATGTTTATTAAACTTTCATAAGATGGTGTGGGGGGGGAGAGGGCAAACAGTCGATGGGGAAAAGATTTGTTGCTCACTCTGGTATTGAATTTGCAATAATGTAGATCATCCTCAGAAATCATTTTGACCTTGGACTTGTCTTGCTCAGCAACCCACCCTACTCTCTAATGAGAATCTCATCAAATGCTTACACCTTCAAGCTTCTCTCCATTCCTCCCCTTTCCCGTTTCTTTCATTCACCGAAGAATCCACTTCTCCCAACCTATGGGACTCCTCCTTCCAAAGCATTTGCTTATGTAACTTTACCATCTGAGGACACTTCTGCCACTGGGGGCATTTCTCTGCTTTGAGAAATAACTATAAACTCACCTCCAGGAGGTCTTCCCTGCTTAAACTACTTTAATCCATCATTCACCTTGAAGCCAAGAAGTCTCTATATTGAATTACTCCTTACTAAGAACATGAGCTTGTCGATATTTGGCTGATTTTTGTTTTCCTGAGAGGAGAGACTGCCTTGGTGCCTCCCCACAGCTATCTACACACTAGGCCTTCCTCGTCCTCCTCCTCCTCAGTATCTGCAAGCCACCAATGAATGCAAGGGAACGATGTATCTAGCAGCTGGCACCAGCACTCATCATCTAATTTAATACTTTAAACAACTCTGTGAGGCAATCATTATTACCATTCACTCCTTTTTTTTTTTTTAATTTCATTTATTTATGAGAGACGCAGAGGCACAGTGAGAAGCAGGCTCCATGAAAGGAGCCTGACGTGGGACTCGATCCCAGGTCTCCAGAATCACGCCCGGGGCTGAAGGCGGGTGCTTAAACTGCTGAGCCACCCAGGCTGTCCATTACTATTCACTTCTGACAGATGAGGAAACCCAGCTCTCTCAAAATCACAGCTTTGAAAAGCTCATGAGGGAGCCTCACAGTTTCTTCCACTTAAATCTCAGCAAATTAATCATGCCTGATGCTGGAAGATCTAGGTATCAAGGCACAGATTCAGGTAGCCAGGTATCTCTACCTATTTGTATGCTCAGGGCCTCTTGTTATAGGGCTCATACGTCACTTAAGAAACATTTCTGGACACTTTTTAAGGAAATCATTTCTTTCAACCATCTCTTCTCACATTCACCCTAAGTGCTAATACAGACTTTCAGAACAGATGTTGTTTTGTACCCAGAGACCATCTTTCCTTTGTGTAAATGTTTTATATCTCCTTGCATGGCTAAGGCCTAAAAATAAAACTGTTAAGACAATCCCTTCAAGAAATGAGAGTACAGTTTAAAACCTGTATTTATTTTTATATTTTGAAGACATAAAACCTGTCAACAGTTCAAGATGGCCAATTCCTAACTACATGGAAGACAATCTAATTTAATTCTATTCAGAATTGTAACAAAAGCAATAAGGAATCAGAAAAAAATTTAATAAATGATACTGTTAATTTTTTAAAAGAAAACAAGTGATTCTAGAATTCTTACCAGGCCTTCTCCCGGTTTAACATTTGGCAAGTGAACTTCCTCCAGACACGCACACTGGCTCATAACAGGATCCGTAGTAGAGCGTATTGTTTTGTCACAGATGCCATTTAAAACCTTGACCTAGAGTTCGACAGGCAAATAGGAAAGGTTCAATCATTAACCAAGTTTATCTCAAGCTGAATTTTAAAGAAATGCACTTCATCTACAATCTATAGCTCCAGTCAGTAATCATTTTAATAATGCTACCCAATGAAGCTTTGGCATTTGGACTTTGTATTTGCAATCAGAGGAAATAGTGCCACTACTTTGGCTTTGTTTAAAGAGTGCAGCTCTTATGTGAATTAAGGCCACTGAAGAGCCACGGGCTGTACAGAAACCCCCATCTGGCAGTGAGGGAGAATCACCTATTCCCTGCCATTTGCAAGGTTTCTTAGTGATCACTCACATTGTAAGCATATCAAATACCCATACAGTTAAAAAAAATTTTTGTCTACAATTTTTTTAAAATAGATTTTCTTTTTAAAGCAGTTTTAGGTTTACAGAAAAACTGAGCATAAAGTACCGAGTTTCTATATACTTCCTTCCCCATCCCAACTTCCAACAATAGCTAGAACATAGTTAATAATAACAAGATATTACAAATATTTTGCTTTACTGTGGTATATGTTAGAACTGATGAACCAAAATTGGTACCTAAGTATCAACAAAAGTCCACAGTTTACATTAGGGCTCATTCTTTGTGGTGTACAATTCTATGGGTTTCAACAAGTGCATAATGTCTTATAACCACTACTATGGTACCATACAGACTAGTTTCACTACCTAAAAACCCCCTGTGCTTCACCTATTCACCTCTCCTGCCTTTCCCACAATGAACCCTTGGCAATCACTGATCTGTTTACTGTCTCACAGTTTTGCCTCTTCCAGAATGTCAGATAATTAGAATCATACAATACGCAGCCTTTTCAGATTGGCTTCTTTCTCTTGGTAATGTGCATTTAAGGCTCCTCCATATCTTTTCATGGCTTTATAAATCATTTCTTTTTATGAAAAATATTGATTATGAATAATGTTTTATTGTCTGGATGTGCCAGTTTATATGGTCACCTACTAGAGGACATGTGGCGGCTTCCAAGTTTTGGCAGTTATGAACAAAGTTGCTGTAACATTCTGTACAGGTTTTTGTGACCAGATAAATACCCAGGGGTAGAACTGCTAGATCGTAGGTTAAGAGTAGGCTTGGTTTTGTAAGAAGCTACTACAGTATCTTCCAAAGTGGCTGTACCATTTTGCATTCCCACCAGCAATGAACAAGAGCTCGTACTGTTCTACATCCTTGTCAGCATTTGGTGTTGTCATGTTTTGGATTTCAGTTATTCTAATAGGTGTGTAGTGGTATCTCACTCTTGTTTTAATTTGCAATTCCCTAATGACACACGGTATTGAACATCGTTCCCCATACTTATTTATCGAATGCCCATCTTTTATGCTGAGGTGTCTGTTCAGATCTTTTGCCCACTTTTTAATTGAGTTGTTTATTTTCTTATTATTGAGTTTAAACAGTTCTTTGTACGTTTTGGAAACAAGTCCTTTATCTGATATGTGTTTTAAAAATACTTGTTCCCGGTCTGTGGCTTGTCTTTTCACTCTTGACACTTTCATAGAGCAGTGTTCCACCTCAACCACCTTAACAATTTTTCCTTCATGGATTCTGTCTTTGGTGTTGTATGTAAAAACTCATCAGCAAACACAAGGTCAACCTAGATTTTTTTTTTTTTAGATTTTATTTATTTATTCATGAGAGAGACAGAGGGGCGGGGGGGCAGAAACACAGGCAGAGGGAGAAGCAGGCTCCATGCAGGGAGCCGGATGTGGAACTCGATCCTGGGTCTCCAGGATCAGACCCTGGGCTGTGCCGCCGGGGCTGCCCCAACCTAGATTTTTTTCTGTTATCATCTAGGAGATACACAGATCTGTGCTTTACATTTAGGTGTATGATCTTTTTAGTACTGGCTCACATTCTCTGACCCCAAACATTGACCAGGTAAAATTTCTGAGACATGAAGATCCCTATTCAGTGTTCTCCATGTAGAATTAACAGGGGTTATGTGGTTGTCTCCTTCAGTCAGATTCACCTAATCTTTCAAAATTAAGCCACCAAAGAAATCAGGAAATTCCAAAGAGTGATTTTTTTTTTCCAAGGGGGAGAATCCAAGAAGTGACACTTCTTACATTCCCCCAATTTGTTTAGCCTTCCTATTTATGGAAAATATATTTATAGCAGTTTCATTGCTAAATTCCTCAACATCAGTAGGAGGAAGGCCTTATCAAAAGAGCACAGGCAGGCTTATGTCAAAGGAAGGAAGCGATGATGAATAGTAACAAAACGCTCTTTAAACAATCACAGCACATCCCCCCTCCATCATAAAGTTTTTGCCAAGGATTTTTTTTTTAATCAAAATGTTCCTAAAGTGAAATATTCAGATCAGTATATCCCTGATTAACAGGCTAGCTGGTAATTTAAGTATAATTGTACCTAATGAAACAGACTCCCATCTATGCAAGTTAAGCACAGGAATTTTCACAGTCGTAATCTTCTTGTTGTTAAATAACTTTTAATCTTACCTCGCTACCTAAATTAATAGATTCAACTCCCAAAAGCCAATATTTCAAAGTATATCCTAAAGGAATTAGCCACAGAATTTTTTACTTGAATTAATATGAGTCCCATTGGTTTGGGAAAAGGAATTTTACAGTAACTTAGGTATACTTACTACAGCTAAAACTTTATCTTCCATTTCTGCTACAAGGCAATCCTAAAGAAGGAAAGAAGAAAAAGAAAACTGTAAGAGCTAGAAATTTCCAAAAACTGGTTACTTAGCTCTAGAGGTACCCAAGACATCCCGGGTGTGCCCCTCACCCTGCAGCTCAAGGAGTCCAGGACTGGGTACAGATGGCACAGAGGGGGACATCCACCTCCTCCTAAGGTCCTACTCTCTCCTGACTGAAAGGAGCTTATCATCCAGGGAATGCATTTGACCGATTACTTAATCAGAAAACCTATGAAAAGAACTGAACTGGAATCCACCAACCATCTAGACTGGGCAGAGAGTAGTAAGCCAGAAATCAAGTCCAAGAAACTGGACAATGGCTCCCAAATGTGACCCCGTGCTCAACTAGCACTTGGCCAACAAGCCAGGAATCTTTTAGCTCTGGGCCTGCTTGTAAGAATAGCTTTCAAATAAGGGCTTGAGTAAACGTAGCCACAAAAGTTTATTTTAAGCACCACTGAGATTAAATCAGATATCTCAGTCCTTAATAAATGAAAAGCGTTCAACAAAACATTCATTAACACACTGCCAAAAAAGTGGTCTTGAGGTATGCTATTGATGACATCAAATAAAGGGCTGGAATGCAAAGCATTATTTACTCAGCTTAAGAACAAAAGCCTCGGAACTGTATGAACCCAGTTGGCTGATTATAGGAGTCTCCATTGTCCTGTCTAAAAGTGGTCACAATGAAGCTGCCATGTGAAACTCTCAGTTCTTCTAGAACTGGTCTACAGCAAAGGTTTCCCAACTCCATAGCAGAGTTTGCAGGGGGAAAAAGGGACTAGATCCTTTAAGAGTTTATTTTGCACCATTAAGTATAATCCCAAACTAGGACATCCTAATTATTTCATGTACATGAAATATATTAATCAACTCTTGGAACTGTCAAAGATTTTCACTTCAATCAAAAGTCATTTGACATCATTTTTTTACTACTACGGGGAGAGGGGGCCTGGACTAGAAATGCATGATAATCTACCCTATACGATTTTGTAATCAGATTTTCAATGTCTTCTTAAAAAAAATTCTCTACTCAATTAAAAAATGTGAGAAACAATAATACTCTGCTGCTCCCAAAATTTACACTGATTCTCAGGAAAAGAGCAGCCAAGTAAGAAAACACTCAAAAAAAAAAAAAAAAAAAAGAAATTTAGAAATGTATTTTTACATGCATGAATCTGATATAATCTCAACCTACAGGAGCAACTTCTGTTAAATAGAATAATTATAACTCAAAAGTATGATTTTCCTCCTCCCTCCTGTGTAGAGGCTTGACTACCACAACGGCTCAACTCATATTAAAACCATAAGAAAGAGAGAATTATTAAATAATTTTAGCAAAAAGAATACTTAATGCAGTCTTGTGCTAGAAATAAAGCTAATAATATGTGTTTATGATTTTTCATTACAAATCCTAAAATGATGTGATGAGCCCTGTCACTCTCATGAGATAATCACCCACAGACAGACAGCTCTTCTTGATACACCAGGACCCATGACTCAAGGTGGCTGTGTGACCTCAGGGATCCTGACACTTGATTCCTTGACAGATCTAAGAAGCCACCAAGAAAATGGGCTCCCTGTGGGGTGGGAGCCAAGGCATTAGAGGAGCTCTCCTGCCCCCCAAATTTGTTCAAGTCTGCATGCAAGAGAGCTCACTTTTTACCTTTTGCTGCCATGAATACAGGCTCCCACACCCATTCCTACTGGGAGGAAGCAGCTGCACACATGACTTCATGGTGTTTGGCATAAAGGCAATGGACTGGAAAAAAAGAAGTCCTGGAACCGAGTCACCCGTCAGGAGCCAGATAGTGGGGCTGAGCTTTGTCACATTCCTTGGTCACCTGGATCAGCGGACTCAGGCCAGCCTACCTGGCAGGGACCCAGCCAGGGCTGATATCAGGTGCCCCTTCCCTCCTCTGCACTTCCTTATTCTAACTCCTTAGCAACTGAGGTGACTTGAGCCTATTTCTTCCTCCATAAAACCAACATGATCAACCCTAGCTCAGAGATCTGCTGAGAAGTAAACATGATCACATGTCAAGCATGTGGCACATGACTGAGACATAACCAGCTCTTGCTTCTTTCTCCTCTGCTATCATGACCACCTTGCTTTCTGTTCAGTCCTCCTGGGCCACTTTCTCCACAGTGGACTCTGGCACCTGCCCCTGTCATTTCATCTCCCACCACTGTGATTGCAGGTTTCCTGTCATCACAACTTTACGAGGACAGAGCAACATACAGAGTTTCCTTCGCCTGACAGCAGAGCCTGCAAACTGGACGGGAGGTCTATCCATGAACTTGGTGTGGGGCAGCAGCTGAGGCATGCTTACCTAGACAGGTGCAGGGTCCTTACATGGGAAGAGCAGCCACCACGTACCCTTCAGATCACGAGACTGACACCTTAGCCCCAAACAGAAGGACACAAAGTGACGAGAAAGAGGAGGGCAGACAGCAACATGTGGAGGAGAGAAAGGAGCAAAAGGATGAGCAAATGTCTCCCCTCACAGATGGAGACGAAAGTAATAAGGAAGGACCCCAGGAGAACATGATCCTTGTCACCGCAAAGAAGGGCACAATTTTCATTCCTTAAATTTCCCAGAATAAAGGGATAAGTGGAAAAGCCTGGTTTCTTCCGGAAAAGTCAACAGACCTTCCGCCAAGAAGTTTTGAAGAAAACTGAACTTCCCCTCGCTGTAAGAGACAGCGTGAAGCCTCCTGGCTCATCCAGGCTTGTCGCTGCCATCACAGAAAAAGGAGTTCAGCTCACTCATCAAGTTTGTTACTTCTAACCTGTGTGCACACAAAAATTCACTTGCCAAAGCACCTGTTCTCTGACTGCTGAAGAAAACATATGTTCACAAGAGCGAAACATCTTTTTCAATCTAAGTGTACAGTGATACTCCCATGTATGTTCATATTTGGCCAATCTTCATCCTTAAAAATTGTTCAAATTTAAATAAACAAACAAAAGGCCAAGAACAGAAAAAAAAAGAGCAACATACTTGTTAACTTCCTCTCCTTAAACCATCAAGTTTGTTGCCAGAAAAGCAGTACAAGGCATGACTTTTTATGTTTAAAATTTTTAAGTGTTAATTTTTAATTCATTAACATTTAGTGTATTGTTCATTTCAGAGGTAGAGGTCAGTGATTCGTCAGTCTTGTATAACACCCATCAGTGCCCTCCTTAATGCCCATCCCTCAGTTCCCCACCCCCACCCCCGCCCCTGAAGCAACCCTCAGTTTGTTTCCTAGAGTTAAGAGTCCCTTATGGTTTATCTCCCTCTCTGATTTTGTCTTATATTTTTCCCTCCCTTCCCCTATGATCCTGTTTTGTTTTTTAAATTCCACATATGAGTGAAATCATATGATAATTGTCTTTCTTTGGCTTATTTTGCTTAGTGTAAGTTCCATCCACTCTAGTTCCATCCACATAGTTGCAAATGGTTAAAATTTCTTTTTTTTATGTAATATTCCAGTGTGTGTGTGTGTGTGTGTGTGTGTGTGTGTATACACCACATCTTCTTTATCAAGGCATGATTTTTATATTTCCTACTTACATGCTATGACTTTTTGTGGGCACTGTGCTTTACATATATTATTTCATTTAATCTTCATGCCAATCTTTTGCAGTAGATATTGTTATTTTCAATAAATATTTTACACAATTTCTCTATATCTAATTTTACACAAATATATATGTGTGGTCATGTAACATTCTTTATGAAATTCTTTGTGAAAAAAGTGTTTCTTTTCCCTCCTGGGATAGCAGGGGCTTGGCTCCTATGCTCCATCCCTACTTCTCTCCCTGCCAAAGTAAACCCAACTTTTCTTCCAAATTGCCTACTGTACTTCCTCCTTTGTACACAGGCTCTTGGATGTGTGTATATTATAAATACATCTATGCATACATTTTCATATTTTGGGGGTCACCATTTGTCATTATATTACACTTTTTTCCCCTTTTATTCTTATTCAACAATAACTTATAAAAATCCTGCCAAATAATCTGGTATGGTAAGTATTAGTATTCTCATTTTACAGACCAAAAAAATGAGGCTCCTAAGTTTTAAGCAACTTTTCCAAGGTCCCAGGGCTAACCAGTGGTAGAGTTATGATTTGAACCTATGGCTGTCAGTCTCTGAAGCATCAAAGGGAAAACAAAAACAAAAATAATACCTCTTCCACCCCCTAGGTTTGGGCTAAATTTCTCCTGATAAGTGACAAATTCACATGAGCTTCTGGTCAAAACCATTATCTCATTATTTAAATACACATTTAAAAATCACCACTTATCATGTGCCAGGCAGTGTGAGGCCCAAAAAAGGCAGGGAGCAAAAATGATGAGGATGCTCAGCAGGTACCATTCTCCTGATGTGAACAGTTCAAGATCTGTACCTCCAATGGGGAGATTTTTTTCCTACCATCAGTTTATAATAACCAACACCTCTGTGAGTACCAGGAAAACACCCCGAGACGACATAAGAAGCCCATTCCATCCAGGCAAGCACAGATTACTCAAAATGTGGCCTTTTCAACGAGGGTCACTCTAGTCACACATCAAAACCTGAATTCCACCTCAATCCGGCCTGTCCTCCTTCCCCCCTTAGCATTTCTTAACCTTATGCCACTTGGTTACTCCAGAATTTCTATTTAAAACAAAAGAAGGTAATCTTTGATATAAAAGCCACTGGTCATTTTTCAGAAACCATCTGTACAACGCATCAAGTAAAAGCCTTTCATCTTTCCCCAGTTGGGATTCAGAAAAAAAATGGCGCAGAGCAGAGAAGCGAAAAGCACATGAGCCCTCTGAAGAATAGGATAGGGCAAAGGAGGGAAACAGTGTTGAAAAGCAACAATGATACACTGACCTTCTGGACTGTAGTGGTCAGGTCCAGGCAAAGCTGAATGATTTTGTTCTTCGTTACTGAGAAATCAGTGATCCCCGTAAATGGAGCCCTGGAAAGCAACAAATGTTCTTTGAAAAAAAAAGGGGGGGGTTGTGGGCACCAGGATCCTGCACCATATATGCTGAAATGCATGGCCACACCACAGGCTGGCTCAGAAGACTTGTCATGCAACTGTTTCCTCCCCAAAACAGGAATGTGAACAGAAAAGAGACAGAGATGTGCTGGATAAAAACACATCATAAAATGAGCCAAAAGAATTAATGTTCCTATAGAGGTCAACTAGGAGCCTTCAGAGCAGCCAAATAATCATGAGCATTTACTGACAGTGAAGCACAGCTTCAGCACGGTTCCAGACCTTCTCCAAGGGGAGCTTCATTGGCTCCCGCCATTCACCCTTTGAGTAGCCTCCAAAGGGACCCTAAAATCCCCCACTGAGCCAGAACCCCTGCAGAGGTGGAAGTGACAGGAGAGGGACAGGCCTATTTGCAGCTCAGGCCCTCCACTGATTGGACAGGTGAGTGCAGGCATCACTTACCTGTCCAGCCAAGCTAATAAGGCCTTGGCCGCACCTATTAGCTCCACCACGGAAGTCAGGAACTCATTGGGGGGCTTGTGGGAAGTGTTTCCATCATAAGCCGGACTTTTCCGCCGGCTACTAATGTAATTTTGTAAGTTGTGGGAAGATGCCCGCAGTTTCAGAACTAAGTTCTTCATATTATCGGTTTCCAGGCCATAATTCTGTGGAAAAATAAGATCAAAGGGAAAAAAATCAAAACAATCAACAATGTCCAAACTCTCATAATAACTCAAAAGCCCATCGAGCAACCCGAGTAACTCTAACAACACCACAAAACCCTCCATGATTTACCCATGGTGCCGATCTTCCCCACTCCAGTTTCTTCTGTTCTGCCTCCAGCTTACTCCAGTCTTGGGGATTTTGTTCTTGCTAGCTCCTCTTTTCAAAATGCTCCTGCCACAAATCTATGCATGGACAGCTCTTTCCTACATTTACATACTAGCCCAAAGGTTCGCTCATCTTTGAGGCTTCCCTGACTATCTAGAGTAGTAGTTTCTCAGCCGAAGCCCTACTGACTTTTAAAGCCCAGGATTCTCTGTTTTGGTTGGGGTGAGGGGGAGAGGGAGGATTCCCATACATTGCAGGATGTTTAACAGCACTCCTGGCTTCTACTCATTAGAGGCCAGTAGCACCCTCTCCCTAGTTGTGACAACCAAAGAGGTCTCCAAACATTCCAAATGCCCCTTGAGGTCACTCCCCAGCACATCACTGATCTGCCACTTCTCTGAACCACCCTGTTGGGCACCATCTTCCTCCACGGGGACGCAGAGCCTGAGAGCCAAGTTCTGTGTCCGGCTCACTGCAATAGCAGCAGCACAGCAGACAATCAAGTATTCACCAATGGATGAATTTCCATCAGGTGAGACTAGCTTGCCCAGAAACGGAGCAGCACTGACCAAATGTCAATTCACCCGAAATGTAATTTCCGTCTCTTGAGTTTATAACCTGGGTTCTTTCTGGATAACATTCAGCTTACTTTGATACTTTGAAAAAAATGAATCACATGTGATAGGTAGAGAACAAAACCCAGAGGGCAACACCTAAATCTAAGATGACTTTGGGGGAAGGAGGGATGAATTTCTGTATTCAACTGCATGTACATTCCCCAAGTTGGTGTTTCATTATTTTAACAAAAAATTAAGATATTTCTGGGGTATATTAAATTGTTTCAATGGCATCCCAAGCCAAAAATGTGGTGCCATTTAAACATTAGGAATAACAGAATGGCCAATATTATTGAATACATACTCTATGCCTTTCCAAGATTGGGCCAACTGATCAACGAGTATTATCTCGGAGAAAAAACAAGTGAAGGTGGAAATGATAGGCTCTCTTTTTTACCGGTGATGAAACTGAAGCACAGAGCCATTAAATTCTCCAGAGAGGTGGGATTCTAAATCAAGGCCACCAGCAGTGAGGGCACAAAGTTTTGATCGCTATGCTGCATGGTCCCCGTCCACGCTCCCTGCCCAAGACAGGACAGAAAAAGACAGAAAACAGGATGGGTAGTTGACAAGGAAAAGAAGAGAGTAGCCAGTGGCCCTGGGTCTACAAACTAACAAGCTGGTTAACTCCTCCCAAATTCTATCCTGACCTGCTCCATCCCCCGATGTTCAAGAAGTTAATGTTTGTATAGTAATAAAAGTTCCAAGTAACTTCTGGTGACACTGACTACAGCTGGGTTTTCACTACAGTAAAATGTTCATGAAGCTTAAATTTATGTTGCTCCCTATAGTAAAATAAAAAGTGCTGTTTAAAAAATTTAGATAAAAATTTTGAGAAGAGGTGCACAGGAGTGGCTCGGTGGTTGAATATCTGCCTTTGGTTCAGGGTGTGACCCGGGTCCTGGGATCAAGTCTGCATCAGGCTCCCCACGGGGAGCCTGCTTCTAACTTCTGCCTGTGTCTCTGCTTCTCTATCTGTCTCTCATGAATAAATAAATAAAATCTAAAAAAAAAAAAAAAAAAGAAATTTTGAAAAAAGTACAATAAAAAAAATAAAAATATTTCCCTAGATCCACTAAATGGAAGCTGTCTTCAACAAGATTTAAAATTTTCATAGTAAGTACATTATTTCATAATTTTATGAAATAAAATTTCCTAATAAAAATGTTTGGTCTTAACAGTAATGTTCTATCCAAATCTCATATTCCTTCATATTTTTCCTGTCATTTTCTCCTTCATATTTTTCCTGTCATTTTCTACAGACTAAAATATGACATTGTCCCTCAACAGAGAAGACAAAAGTAACAAAGATGGATTTTCATCATGCTTTTTAAATTCAGAGAATCAAAGACTCACAAGTGAATGGATAAAGAGCCACATGACAAGCTTGTTTTGAAGGACTTGTAACTAATTAAAGGGAACTGTCCCCTCATTCAGTCAATTACTCAGGCTGCCAACTTCCATCAAGAGTTCTGAACTAAACACAGGGAAGTTAGCTTTCTATAATCGTTGTCACCAGAAATGACTTGGGACTCTTATTACTACACATAACATTCACTTCTTGAACTCAGAGAGGATTAAACACATTTCAGTGTTTTGAGAATTGTTAAACTTCAATCTCATATAAACCTCTCATTTTTAATATTCAAATAAAGGGGAAGTGTCGCTTCCTGTGAACTGGTTCTTTTCATTTCCACTCAATGCACTCGGATTCTGGTTTCCCACCCAAAACCCATCATGGGACTGGAAGGATGAACAGAGGCAGCTATAAAATGGAGTACGGTTTTAACAAGATAGAAAGAAGGAGCAAAGGAAAGACCATTCCTTCCCCTTCCACCCCATTCCACACAAGAAGAGAACAAGAAACTGATTATATTAGCTCAAGAGAACCTCTAATGTAGAAACATAAGAAACCTCTAATGTAGAACCTCTAATGTAGAAACCAAGTAAGGAATGAAATGGGTGTCTGAAAATCTGTATACGTACATAAACCCTTCTGTGGATATCTCGATCCTTAGAGGTGAGCCATCAGGGGTTACCACTTCCTGGTCTGGCTAGAGAAATTACACAGGAGGCAGGCAGATTCCCACTCTTCTAGTGCCCTAAATATGCACATTTTAGCTAAAGATGAATCTTATACTTCTCTTCTACCTTCTTTTCCCATTCCTCCCGACCCTGTCCATGATCTACATTTGTGATGAAGGTATGGCAGAGACACACAGTCTAAACCATCTCACTGGCTTGGATCAATGAAGTCACAACCTAAGTACTATATTCCACAGTTTTTCCCAAAGGCATTTAATATACTCATAAGCAAGATAAGTTAAATACAAACTGTCAGCAAAGATTACTCTGCCTGCATGATTTCTCCCCATAATGAACAGAACACTATTTTAATGATTTCCCATAGATGGGTAAATGATGAACTGAATAATGTCAGGGATATACAAGTGCAGAGAAGTGTCCTGTGCAGGTAAATATATTATAGGTATTTCATTTAAGCACACATTTAGGTGGCATCACTTAACATGTGTACTGATTTGACTTTGTTCACATTCTCAACCTACTTCAATCTTAAAAATGAAGGACAGTTAAGTGTCTGACTCAGGCCCTGATCTCATCAGAATAGTCAGATTGAGCCCTTGCAATGGGCTCTGTGCTCAGGGGGGAGTCTGCTTGAGATTCTCTCTCCCTCTCTGCCCCTCTCTCCCTGTTGTAGGTGTGCTTGCTCTTTCTCTCCAAGGTAAATAAATAAAATCTTTAAGATATATATTTTTATATATTAAATATATTAATATTTATATATTATATATTTTTATATATTTCTATATATAATATTACATAATATATACATATATATATGTCTACCTTGGTAACTAGGGTTTGATTGATTGGGCAACAAAAATGGGTTACAATTATACTTTCTTACTCTCAATCACACCCTCCAGACTAGTGTAGGTCAATAGAACCTGTTGCAATTAGGAAAATGCTCTCTATCTACACTATCCAAATCTGATAGACACTAGCCACCAGTAGCTATGAGCACTTGAAATGCGGCTTAGTGAAACTGAGGAACTGAATTTTATTTCATTTTAATTTGTTTTAAATAGTTGCACATGGCAAATAGTTGTCCTCCTGGAAAGAGCAGCCCTAGAGTCTGCCCCAGAGAGGTGGAGAAAAGTTGGGCTCAGACTCTGAATTCAATCCTGGGAAGTGGTCTTGGTTCTACTTCACAATACAAGCCCTGTCTGAGTTGCACCAGCTTGCCAAGGTCAATATTGGCCAAAGGCAGTGGTGTTCTCTTTTGGCTCTCTTCTCTATCTGTGACTAGATATCTGTGGACCATCTGCTCACTGGTTTTGTAATCTTCACCAATAGCTAGTCCCTATTTTAGGTTTTTATCCATTGTATCTGCCCTGTTCTTTCCAGAACTTTCCAATGGTTTTGTTTTTTCCTCTCTTTAATCTAAATTCTACTCACTTCCTGTGCATCACAAAACCAGCAGCCACCAAACCAAGTTTACATTACAACCTCTTTTATAACCCCAGGGCCAACAGCAAATATATATTAACTGCCCAAGGGGTGGGTTGTTCAAGGGGAAAAATTATCACTATTTATACAAAGATTATATATAATGTAAATGGATTAAACAAATAGCATAATTAACATATACATTTATAATAGGAACATTTTAAAGGGAGATTATATCAAGATGAAAAGATATTTTAATCAAATTCTAAAACCCTCCCCAACCCAGGAAAGGCACACTCATTTGAGAACCCTCCTGTGACCCTCCTGTCAAATGCCTTCACTGGCGCTGTACTGCACAAAGCATGTCCAGAATGAGTTTGAGGTCAAACCTTTGCCTACAAAGGAAATTAGAAGGAAATTGTAGGAGATAAAATGCAGCTTTAGGTTCTGGCATTTGTCCAGCTTTGTTCGCTTCGGTCCAGTATTTTAAGAGGTAGGGAAGGGGTAAAAGCAAAGAGGCAGTTGCTGTGTTTATTATCTGGCTTGCTATAAACTACATGCCTCTAACCTACCCTTCCTCCTCACCTCTCATACTGTGCATTGCAAAGTAATTTACTTGTCCTCAAAGCCCTTCCTCGAAGTTGAAAGAGTCAAATCAAATGAGCAGAAAAGATGGAAAAGTGATCTTCCCAGAAAGTATAATAAAAGTAAACTCAAATATGTTTCACTGAAGAAGAAAAAAAAACCCACCACCATACAGCTTTAATAATAAACAGGACTCTAAGACATCTTCTGGGCAATGCAACACACACATTAGTGTACCGCCACGTCCAGGGAGTGTTACTGTACAGATGGGGAAAACAGACACCGTCGTTTCCCCAGAGGTCACAGAGCGAGGAGTGTGTAGCAGAGCCAGGATTAGAATGCAAAAAAGCCGGCCTCCCAGGCCAACACTCACACCACTTGGCCACAGCGTCTCCCCCGTGGCAGCTCATTTATCAACCACAAATAATTTCCCCATTACTTTTGTAAACAAGAGCAGCGCATCTCAGAGCAGGAGACAAAGCTCTGTCCATTTTAAGAAGAAGAATATGCACAAAGCAGCAAGTGTTATATAATCAACGGAACGCAGACCAGCAATGGCAAAATAATCGGGAACACATTCTTTCCCACCATTCTCAGTGATGTAATTGTATATGCCCCTGGCTCAGGTTCACGGCGTTACTTAACCCAGCCTGAATGCTGCGGAATGAGTCCAAATCCTGACAGTTGGGGAAACTGCATCCTGAACGTGGCACCACACAGACCAGACGTGGATCCCACCGGACGGCAACCAGTTTGGAAACACCATGCCCTCACAGGTGTTTTTAGCCCACGCCTAAAAAAGTTACTCACGCAGCCATGGGTGTGATGCAAGAGTCAGAACCTGGCAGGATTGAACTCATTTATGATCAAGCCAAAGCTAATCCTCTTGCAAAGTGTAACTACGTTCACATTTTTTCCCACCTAGCTACCATTTCATAAGGTGATTACTGCAAGCACAAGCATCGGTTATTTATATATCACAGATACCTGGGAAACATAAAAAAGGTTTTTATAGTAACAGAAATACATGAAAATCAATCGATTTCTCGTTTTGGTTTAGAAGAGGGCATTTTCGTTCAGGACCATCTCCATCTTTTTATTCTCCACAGAAGATAAGAAAATGAAACTAACACAGACTTTTTCTGTAAAAGGCAAACTTCTTAAAAGGCAAGATAGTAAATACACCAGACTTTGGAGGGCAACACGGTCCTTGTCACAACTACTCCACTCTACCACTGTAGCATGACAGCAGCCGCAGACAAAACATAAACAAACAGGTATGGCTGTGTGCCAATAAAACTTTACTGACAAAAATAGCAGGCCAGATTTAACCCAAAGGCCACAGTTTGCCACGTCTTAATCTAGGAAATGATTTATTTTCTTCCTTTTTTTATGTTGTTTCCAGCTCATGCTTCACTTCAATGTATCATTAATAGAAGATGATGCTATGCTAAATCACGAATGAACATTGAGGATTTGAGAGAATAAAGATTCTAAAACATCACCATGGCACAGATCATCTTTTCCTGAACTAACCAGTGCACAGAGAAGGTCAACAGCCTCCAACACAAGTTCCTGGTGTCCAATTCGCGTGACCCCCAGCTCCTCAAGATCCTGATGCGAAATCTTCAGCAGCTGTTCTCCATTTATCTTCTCTCGTTCAAATTTGTGGACATACTGCTGCAGGCAATCATCTAACCCTACCAAAAAAAAAAAAGCAGAAGTCCATTATTGTCATTTTGTTTCCTTTACTCAAAACACTGCCCACATTTACATGAACTTCAGGAATCTCCCAATTATACTCCAACTATCTGACTGTCTATACGATGTATATCCCACCTGATGGGACACTTGTCAGATGTGTCCTCATCTTGTCATCTCAAACAGGTCTGCAATGTACAGCTTAACATTTTCAAATGGATTTGGCACAATTTTATGGTTACCTTTCCATTCCCTTTCAACTAAAAGAATAAACACTAAACCCCCCCAAAAAAAAAACAACACTAAACCCTTGCTGACTTGGAAATGCAAGTTATGCATACTAGACATATGTCTGTTTGCTAAGCAGTCTTCCTTTGGGACATCACCCCTGTCCCAGCCCATGTGCTCCCAGTGGACTTGGCAATCAAGATGCTTTGCCACAGTCGCTGGCCACAATATTCGACCCGCTGGCCAGTTATAGGTTCAAGGATAACCAAGCAGAACCAATCAAAATTGTCCCTGACACAGGAAGATAGAGGTTCTTCCTTTCCAGTTGGAAGCCAAAAGGATACAACTTTGGGGATGCTGGTAGTCATTTTTCTGATCAGTTTTCTGAAAATAAATCCATTTGAGAGGAAGAAAATATTCCAATAATATCCTATATGCTCCTAGATCTAAACCTGCTTAAGGATACTTCTATCCCTACTATTTTTTCACTTAAATTGAAATAAATTCCCTTTACAGCTTAAGCTTGTTTGTGCTGGGTTTCTGTCCCTTGCAACTGAAAAAGTTCTGATGAATACAGAATCCAAAGGAGAAGACACCAGCAGTGGTACCAGAGAAAGGCAATGTTAAATGGGTTAGCTCATGGGACTTTTTCCAGGTCAAATACCACTTCCAACAGTGTTGTATTTTAATGTTCTTATACAATGATTGAGATGGATAAAATAGGTAAGACTACATGTCTGGGCATCTTTATTCCTATAGAGAGAACTCCCTGGTCAACTTGTTTCAAAGGTTTTACTAGAATAAAATTTTACACTGAGTCAATTGGTCTATTCAAGCCTAATAATGAAAGCCACCTTAGTGTTTTCAACAATGAGGCTAAAAAATGTTTAACTCCAACACAGAGGATGAAAATTCAATTGAACTAGCATAAAGTATGTAGAAGGCATGTTGCTGTCCTCTGTCACCCTCAAACACACACACTTACTTCACTTACCCCCAAGCTCTGCCATGTGGGTACTCTAGACTAGGAAAAGTAGACACAAGGTCTAGCACTTAGTTTTGGCAATACTAAATCTATGGATCTTAAAAGCTGATGTGCTAGGTTAAATGATAACTTTCACCATATGCCTCCCGATAAGATATAACAAGAACAATGTCCTTACAACTATTTGGGACTACCAAATATAGGAAGAGGCGGTGAGAAAAAATCACTTTAAGGTGATTTGGAATCCCCTCATCTTCCCTCAAGTGACACCTATCTAGCCAAGAGGCTCCATCACACAGCAAGCAAAATTAGAGACACTGACATGAATCTAGCTCCACTTTGATGGCCATGAGCCACAAGTGGCCATCAGGGTGTGTGATCAGACAGGCACTGGACGCTACCCAAGTCAGCAGGTATGGAGATGGATGCCACCACCCTGGCCCCATAGGCACTGTGTTCCAGAGCCCTGACACTCAGGGCCATCTGCAGAGAGGTGGCATCTATCTACAATCAGCAACGGTAACAAGGGCCAAGAACTAAGGAGAGCCTCCTGTCAGCTCTCTTCACAATTTATAGATGACTAAATTAGGGTGCATGGGGGCTACATAACCTGTCCACAGGCACACAGCTGGTAAAATGCCAAGAGAAGGATTTTTATAGCCATCTTCTTCAGCTCGCTATGGAAGAAAAGGCTTCAAATGCAAATCAAGACCTATTTGGCACAAGCTCTGCTCTTTCACATTCTACCCAGGGAAACACAAGATTATAAAAATTTCTCTCCAAGCATCTTCCTGAAAAAAGCAGTAGGGTCTAATTACAAACACTTATTAAGAGAGAATCAAAAAACCTTAGAGGTACTTAGAAGGCACTGTCATTGAATCCAAACAATTGGGTATGTACAAGCAAAAGTCTTAATTACTATGAATTTCACCCTAAATCACTTAGCCAGTTCTAAGCCAGATCACAGCCAATATCCTGCAATTGCCTCTCCATTGGGATGTCCTCTTCCGTTGCCCAGTTTTAAGCTTTAAAATGAATTTTTGTTTTAATGATCATAAAAGTTTAGGACCATCATGTAATACGTTTAAACTTTGTTGTGGCCAAACTGTTTCTCCCCAAAGTTATATGTTCAAGTCCTAATCCCTGTTACTTAGAAAGTGACTGTATTTGGAGATAAAGCTTTAAAGATGTGATTAAATTCAAATGAGATCATCAGATTGGGCCCCAATCCAAGATGATTGGTGTCCTTAGAAGAAGAGGAGACATACATGGGGGTGAGTCTGTGTGAAGACACAGGAAAAGAAAGCTATCTACAAGCCAAGGAGCCAGCCCTGCCGACACCAGGATCTCAGACTTCCAGCTTCCAGAGGTAGGAGGAAATAAATTTCTGTTGCTTCATTACCCAGTCCATGGTACTTTTTTATGGCAGCCCCAGCAAACCAACACAAATGTAATAGTCTTTCGGTTCATTATTCATACACATGTCATAAACTCTCATAAACAAAACAAACAGAGACCGGTAGACTTAAAGTTCATGCTTACTGTGCCAAGCAAGCTCACTGTGCAAAGTAAAGTATAAAACAGAGATTCCTGTCAGTTTTCATGTGCAGAGTAAATCAATCCATTAAAATTAAAGTGAAGAAATGGATGCAGCATGGATGTTCATTAAACTTCATGCGCCATGGATGTTCATTAAACTTCATCCCTGAATAATAAGTAGAAATAAAGATGAGGCCAGATTCCTCTTTTAATTAACTGAAGGGTTTCACTGAGGGAACAGGATTTCAGAAGTAGCTTGAGAGCATGAGGAAATATTCTGGACACAGGGAAGGGGGAGGTGCGATGAGGGTTCTTGATAGGATGAAGGTTGTAAATACGATCAGAGAGAGAGAACTTGAACAGTACAGACGAACATTTCCCTGAGAGGAAAGCCAGAATCTCTTTAAGGATTCTGGGGGAATATAAATGACCTAACCTCAAATAATCAAAAGATCCCTGACATATAGGATTATCAATTGGGAATGCCATGTTGCTACTGACCTAAAAACAGCATCTATAGAGGCATAAAGACTTCCTCCCAAGGGATACACGTATGTTGAATATGTTCGGGTTTAAATAATGTTGCCCCCAGTTTTATTATCCCAAAATGTTATGGCCTATTAGTCATATCCCACTGATTGGAATACAGTCAAACATTTGTAAACAGCTAAATTATTAAAACTGTTACACAGCCCCACAAAGGAGAAGAAAATGCCTAATTTCAAGGAAATTGGTCTAATCATTTTAGAATTTGCAAGACACACTTTGACCTCTTTGTCACATGTACCTATTTGCCAGATCCTTGCTTCTAGGAACTTACAGAATGTCTAGCAGAACCGAGAGAAACACATCATTAAATAAAATTAAACACATTCCATTTACACAAATAAAACACATAATGCAATGTGCAATAATCAGGAAGGAAAAGGAAAGGGAGCTCCAAAAGAATGCAAACCACAGTGAGGGAGGCCCAGACTCCTCCACTGTCCCCAGATCCAGTAGTGAATACTCCTGAAGTTTCAAAGAAATCCCAAATGGGAAAAGGAAAGAAAGAAACCGCTCACCCCAGTGGTAGAATGAGACAAGGCAGTAGTTATGAGCCTGAGTATCAGTACTGATCCCACTTCTTGCTAACTGGAGAAAGTTCCTTAGTTCTCAGATTTGGAAACCATGGATAACAACACTACCTACTGCACAGATTCATAATGAAACAGAAAGGGTCGTTATCTGGAATGGGCTTAAAATACAATGAAGCACATAGTAAATACTCTGCAAACACTGTTAAATACAAAAATGTGATTTATTCAGCTCCTCAATTTGCTAAGTGTTCAGAATAAAAGTTGCTAGGGAGACACAGAAACTCCCAAATGCTTTTAGGCAGCCACTCCTGGGAACACAGTAAACTAGAGACAACAGCTCACATTACTGTCCTCCCTAGGAGGTGTTTCCAAATATGGGAGCCTGCCATAATCATCGATTCCACCCGAAAAATGTTTTCTGATTTATACTAGAATAGAAGCATCATGAAAGCTGAGGCTTCCTTTTGTTCTCTGTTTATCCTCCAGCATCTAGAACACTGCCAGTGCTTAATACTATCTGTAGAAGTACATGAATGTGTTAAAAAAGACAAGGAACTTCACAAAAATATTAATGTCACACCAATGGACAAGCCACCTGATTTTGCTTTCCCATGCGAGTTAGTAACTAAAGAGAAGGAAACTGCGGGCTGTGATATCATCTACAGGTACATGCTCCAAGTTTCCATGTTTCAAGATTAAAGAAGGTCATATCAACATTAAGGAAAAGTATCATGCACAAAACAAAACCCCAAAGTAAAATTCCAGACCTTGACAAGATACTTGCCCCATACTAAAAATGATTCTTTATTAATTAATTAATCTCTCTGAAGTGTGGGAAGGCTTGTGTACATAAAGATTAAGAAGTTAGAGTAAATGATCCACTATAAAAAACATTGAGCTATTCTCTTCTTATTTTCTGCAGGAGACGACGATCAGATCATTGACTACATCATCTTCCTTTCTGCTGGTGAGGCCCCCTGGAAGGCCCTCCCTCTCCATGGCTATGCTTTTGGCCTGTATGCTCAAGTCAGCAAAAACTATAGTTCTACAACTATAGTGAGCCTGGAACAGTCTTTTTTTTTTAAATTTTTATTTATTTATGATAGTCACACACAGAGAGAGAGAGAGAGGCAGAGACACAGGCAGAGGGAGAAGCAGGCTCCATGCA